GTGTTGGTGCTCTGCCTTAACCTGTTGACAGGTAAGGCAACGGCTCACGTATTCTGCAATCTCTCTCTTCATCCCCGACCACCAGTAACTTTTTTTCAAGTCCCGATACATCTTTGTACCGCCCGGGTGCATGGCATACGCAGATGAGTGAGCCTCCTCAAGGATAGATTTACGGAGCTCCTCATCCGATGGCACACACACTCGTTCCTTGAACAGTAAAAGTCCATCTTCTCTCTCACGGAAACCCTCTACGGGCCCCACAAGCATCTTTTCCCGGATTTTTTGAAATTCCTCGTCATTACCTTGACATGTCCTGATTTCGTCTAATAAGGTGGGTCTCACCTCAAATCTGGCCAATAGCGCCCCATCCGTGGATACCTCTACGCGTGCCCTCAATGCCCGTAAGCATGTGAGTAAAACCCCTGATGATGAGCTCTTCCTGCTCAGTGCATCGGCTACTACATTAGCCTTGCCTGGATGATAGTCAATGATCAAGTTGTAATCCTTAATCAACTCCATCCATCTTCTCTGTCTCATGTTCAATTCTTTTTGAGTGAACACATACCTCAAGCTCTTGTGGTCGGTGTAAATGTGACACAACTCTCCGTAGAGGTAGTGCCTCCAAATCTTCAATGCAAACACCACAGCACCTAGCTCCAGATCATGTGTGGGGTAGTTTTCTTCATGCTTTCTCAACTGCCGAGAAGCATAAGCGATTACCTTCCCCGATTGCATCAGTACACATCCTAGTCCCTGAATGCTAGCATCGCTGTAAATGTCATACCCTAACCCTTGCACGTGTAAGGCAAGCACTGGTGCTTCGGTCAAACGTTTCTTTAACTCAAGAAACCCCTTCTCACACTTGTCATCCCACACAAACTTAGCCCCCTTTTTAGTGAGCTTCGTGAGTGGAGATGCTATCACCGAGAACTTTTCCACAAATTTGCGGTAATACCCCGCTAAACCGAGGAAACTCCTTATCTCCTTCACGTTCTTGGGCCTCTCCCAATTAGTGAACGCCTCAATCTTTGAGTTATCAACTGAAATGCCCGAGCCCGATACCACATGCCCGAGAAAACCGATCTCCCCAAGCCAAAATTCACATTTAGAGAATTTGGCAAAGAGTTGCTTCTCCCGCAGTATTTCAAGCACAAGCCTTAGATGTTTTTCGTGTTCCTCTTCATTCATGGAGTATATCAAAATGTCATCAATGAACACTATGACGAACTGATCTAAGTATTGGTGAAATACTCGGTTCATGAGGTCCATGAATGCCGCGGGGGCGTTCGTAAGCCCAAACGACATTACTAGAAACTCATAGTGACCATACCTTGTACGGAATACACTTTTGGGTATGTCACTCTCCTTGATCTTCAGTTGATGGTAGCCTGACCTCAAGTCAATCTTAGAGAACACGGTTTCCCCCCGTAGTTGATCAAACGAGTCATCGATCCTTGGCAAAGGGTATTTATTCTATATCGTGACCTTGTTCAACTGACGGTAATCGATACACATTCTAAGTGTACCATCTTTCTTCTTTACAAAGAGTAGCGGTGCTCCCCACGGTGAATGACTCGGCCTAATGAATCCGATGTCCAGTAATTCTTCCAATTGCACCTTCAACTCTTGAAGTTCAGCCGGTGTCATCCGATATGGAGGAATCAAGATGGGTTTCGTACCAGGTTCTACTTCAATGGTGAACTCAATTTCTCGATCTGGTGGGAGTCCCGGGAGTTCTTCAGGGAAAACTTCTGGGTACTCCCTCACCACTCTCACCTCAGTGAGACTCTTTCCCTTGCCTTCCTTGTCTATGACATAGGCCAAGTACGCTTGACACCCTTTCCTCATCATACGTCTTGCTCTTATGGCCGATATGATACAAGGATTGAATTTCCCTCTATCTCCCTCGAAGCTTAGAGTATTTCCTTCTCCATCTTTTAGTTCTAACACCTTGGTGTAACAATCTACCTTCGCATGGTGCTTTTCGAGCCAATCCATGCCAAGTATGGCATCAAACTCGAGCATATCTAACGACACAAAGTCACCCGTTAGACAGTGCTCCCCTATCCCTACATTACACGAGGGATAGTAGTGTTTCCGCTCTACATCATCTCCCAATGGCGTAGAGACCAGCAAAGGTTGCATCATTGCTACCAAAGGCATGTTCAATCCCTTGGCAAACGCTTCGCTCACAAATGAACGTTGTGCCCCGGTATCGATGAGAATTCTCGCATCCCTATCGTTGATCTTTAGAGTTCCTACATATATAAGTCATGTAAGACACCCTACTCAACATCCCGACTGAAAAGGACCGAACGAAAAAATTGCAGCCTAGGATTACCCTATACCCGGTCGGGTAGGGTCCTCTACCCGGTCGGGTATCACTCGAGTCCTTAAGGAAAAACTTTCTGTTTTCCTTGCTCGGTCGAGTACCGGCCTTGAACCCAAAACTTTTACCTATACCCGGTCGGGTATATTGCCATACCCGGTCGGGTATGGCTAGAAACATCAAAACGTTCTGCTTTGAATGTTCGATCGGGCACACGCTTCAAATTCGAGAAAAATGTCAATACCCGGTCGGGTATATACCTATACCCGGTCGGGTATTTATCAAAATTTCCAATTAATAGCTTCCTGTCATCAACGCTCGAACGAGTACACACCTCGAAGCTCAATTTTTACACATACTCGATCGAGTACATAGCCATAACCGATCGGGTATTGCTCTAGGTGTCAAAAATGAAATATCCTGCCTTGCTTGCTCGAACGAGTACACACTTCGAAATCAAAGCATGGCTTATACCCGGTCGGGTCTATAGGGGTACCCGATCGGGCCCTTCATATATTTTGAAGATTTCTAATCCAAATACATGCTCAATACGTGTGAAATCAAGAGAGTTACCTGCAATGGAGTCCGGGTTGGCCCGAGCATCAGCCTCGGTCATTGCATACACCCGTGCTTGGGTCCTCCCTTGGTTAATGGACGCGGCGTTGCTAGTCGTGGGTCCGCCCCTTCCCGTGCCGGCCTGAGACGGTCCCGCACGTCCCCTACTAATCGTAGGTCCTCCCATAGCTCCCGATGGTCCTCCTCCGTTCAGCATTGGACAAGAGAGTTTGAGGTGGCTCGTGCTACCGCATTTGAAGCATCGGGGTGGTTCATTGCACCTTCCCCCGTGGTTCTTACCGCAGTTCGCGCACCTTGGTGGTCCCACACCCCCCGGTTTGGGCCCTTGCCCCCCTGGGCCCTTATACCTTTTCGTTAGTGGTGCCGGCGCCCTGAATGTATTGCCACCCCCGGCGTGATGCCTCCGGGAGTGGTCTTGGGGTCCTGAGTTTCCCCATTTCCTCTTCTTCGCCTCCTCGGTGTCTCTCGCCTTCCTTTCATTCCATTAGGTTTCCCCAAGGAGCCCTTGGTCGACAACTTGGCTAAAAGTCATGTTATGCTGGTAAGTAGCTCGGTCGCGGATGTCCAATTGTAGAGCATCCCAAAAGTGATTGGCCATTCGATTCTCATCCAAAGAGTATTCTGGTATGAATCGTGTCAAGTCTCGGAACCTCTGCTCCAATTGCCTCACCGAGCAACCCTCCTCCTGTTTCAAGTTTGTGTACTCCCTCCTTTTGAGATTGACTTCAAAAGTGGAGTAGTACTGATTATAGAACTCCACTTCGAATTTCTCCCAAGTGGCCTCACCGTGGAACTTTCCTTCCACACCTTCTCACCATACAGCAGCTACCCCATCCAGTAGCCTGGTAGCAACCCTCAACTTCACGTCGAGTCCAATTTGCATATCCCTAGAAGCATCATTCAACTTCTTAATCCAATCGGCGGCCTCAGAGATGTCGCCCAATTGCCATCAAATGATTTGCACCCAAGGCCCTAGCCTCCTTGAGGTACTTGGAGATACGTACCATCGTGTCTCCTCCAAATGCCCCAGATGGAGCACTAGAAGCTCCCCGGCTTCCCTGTCCCGTGGCCTGCCTAGCCTGTCTAGTTTGGCGCCGTTGTTCCCCTGAGTAGGACCTTAGTAGGTGTGGCAGTGCTGGGAGCTGACAGAGACAGCGAGAAAGACCTTTATATTCCATTTTTATGTGTTTTGTCTATTTTTCTCCAACCCATTACTCTAAAAATTGTGAAGGAGTGGGGTGCAAAATCAAATGATTTCATACATTAATAATTTTAAAAATTTTAAAATGGAGTGTAAAGTCGTAAAAAAAGAGGCGCAAAGTCAAATTCTCTCTTAATTATTATAGTAACGTAGAATTAACTTTAATATCAAACTTTTTTCAAAAGTTCGAAATTTTTATTTTTTCTTTTACTAGATAAAAGTCATCAAGAAACCTATCAATTTGGAAATTAAAACTAGATGCACAGTATATAAACATAATGCTTGTATAAAATTAATGTTTTATAAACACAATGCTTAGAAGTAAAATTTTAAGTCAAATATTAATTTTTTTAATTTATCTTTTACTCTATAAAAACTTCTCGAAAAATATAAAGTATTATAACAATTTGAATACTTTCTAAAAAGAAAAGGAGCTTTTTCCCAGATTAATGCGATTTTATTAAGTATTTTCCAAATTAATGTTGGGTTAAAAGTATTTACAAATATACTATTGGGCCTAACCCTGGTTGGGCAAAGTCGTCAAACCGTTTGGTGACTTATAAGTCGTCATCTCGTTTGGCGACTTATAAATCGTCATCTCGTTTGGCGACTTATAAGTCGTCATCTCGTTTGACGACTTTACCTTAACAAAACACGCCCAAACTCCCTGTTTCAGACAGGCGCCAGTTTCTGGCCAACCAGGGCCGGGCCGGCGCCCCCCGGTGGCAAAAAAAATCGATTTCCGTCTTAAATCAATCCCGATTGTCACAGTATACCGTTTTTCGTTTTCTTACTTACAGAACACACCCATTGAGAAACAGGTCACATGCAAAACAGAAATTGGTAAAAATGATACACAACGACACACCTGCTCAGAAACATAGTATAAAAACACGGTATAAACATCCTATATGCATAACAAAACACATCAACACATCATAAAGCAAATGAAAAAGTACTAATAACACAATATTCATTAGTTTGCATGTGGAAATACTTAAAAAAGTGAAGTGTTTCTACAAGAAATTCAGAGCCCTTCAATGATACTCCTGGCCGGTGTAGTGATCTTCTGCCACACTAACTCATTTCGTGCTTTTCACAGCCCCCAAATGAGCATCACAAACCTACTGCAGGCATCATCACTAAAGTTGTCAAGTGTTCTCTCAATCCACTCCAAGAAGTTCGACTCATTAACAAGCTGAAAATCCCAGTTCATCAGATTCCACACATGCCTTGCTATGGGGCAAAGGCCAGATACATGTAAAAGGTTTTCACCCCTCATCAAGCAAGAAAGACAAACTTGAGGGCAGTTAACTCGTCTAGCTAGAAGTGAATCCATCGTAGGTAGCCAACCAACACATACCAGCCAGAAGAACACTTTTACTTTCGGTGGTATGTGTAAATGCCACTTCTTTACCCACCTGGGACTCCCAGTTTCATCCACTGTAGCTACTTTTCACCGTGTAGCATCCATTCTCTTCCCAACGCCATGCCAGCTTGTTTGGAACCTGCCTCTGACTCATCGGGATTCCAAAGTATAAGCTTTTGATCCCTTGCTTTCAATACTCGGTCTACTAACGAATCTGGTTCTGTAAAGATCTTCCAAGCCTGTTTGCCGAGCATGGCCAGATTAAACTCCCTCAGTCTCCTAAATCCCAAGCCGCCTCTGGTCTTTGGGAGACTCAATCCTCTCCAATCTTTCCAGTGTACCCCTCTCCCAGAAGAAGCCGATCGCAATGTTCCTTTGCAGAAATCCACCACCTCAGGCCCCACCACCTCCCTAAAATGTTGATAAAATCCCGGACCTAAACTGTCTGACCCTGGGCTTTTGTCTGGATGCATGGAAAATAATGCTGCCTTCACTTCCTCTTCACGGATAGGCCTCAAAAGCTCTGTATTTTGGGAATCTGAAACCACCTGCTCAACATATAATAGAACTGGATCCATGTATCCCTGCAAGGAAGTAAAAATGTTAGAGAAATAGTCCTCCACTAAACTGTCCACTTCCTCCCTCTCATTCTCCCATCTCCCACCCTCCACCCGAAACCCCTCAATGTGGTTCCTTTTCCTCCTTTGCTTAACTGAATTGTGAAAAAATCGGGTACTGGTGTCTCCTTCGCGCAGCCAAAACTCCTTGGCCCTCTTTTCCAGTAGCAATTTCGGTTTTCAAGTAATTCCAAGTACTCCATTTTCACCCTCCCAAACTCCTCAAGACAAAATCTATCTGTTCTCCTTCTCAAGTATTGTAACCTCTTCTTACAAAAATCAAACCCCTCTCCCAACTTCCTTACAATCAACCTCCCTTATCCATAAATTCTCGAACTCTGTGTCTACATACCCCACCCGGTTTTAGCTTGATAAATGAAGCTAAATGATTGCTTGGAGTTCCTTTAAAAAACCACGCTTGTGCTCCTGCAAAGTGCTCCTCCCAACAAGGTGAAACTAAAATCAGATCCAAATTTTCTTCCACCCAGCCATGGGTACCATGCCCTCTTTCCCATGTGAATTGATATCCATCAAAACATGGGCGGACCCAGAAAAGTCATTTTGGAGTGAAAATATTTTTGGGGGGTTCAAAATACTTTTTGAAAGAGCAAAAATCATTTTTCGTATATATATACACTAAAAAAAATTGTTGAGAGTGGGAGCCCGGGTCTCTACTACGGTCCGCCCCGGCATCAAAAGAGAAGTTTATCAATCCACTTGCCTATACTACTTCCGTTCTTTCTCTTCTTACCCACTGTTTGCAAGCGTATGATCTCTTCACCTACCTTCCTACAATCCGACATCCTTCCACAAAGCAGACTACCCTCTTCTCACCTCCCGGAGCATCTCCACTCCTCTACTCTATACTCCTTTCTTCCCCTTCCCTACTGTCAACAGAAACCTTTCCTGCTCCATTTTTACCAGTCCCCATAACAGGGGTTATTCCCTTAATATTATTAAATTGAACTGATTTTCCAGAAATGTGAGTACTTTTAAAAATTGACAAAAAAGTGACTAACAAAGTCATGTATTTGGAATAAGAAAACATGATGTCACTGGAATAATATTTTGTCACTGTATTCGTTTTTTGTCACTCAGAGTCGTCATCGTCAAATTTTTCACACCAATTACACTTCCACCAGAACCACCACAGTGACACCGTCATAGTGACGCTGCCACAGTGACGATGCCATAGTGACGCCGCCACGGTGACGACGCCATAGTAACGACGCCACAGTGACGACGCCTACTCTCCATCGATCGGACAGAAAGAGAAGAAATAGAAAATCAGATGTGGAGTTTGGAAGGGAGACAACTGGGGCACAGACGAATGCTATGGTGATCAGCGAAGAGGTCGAAGATGATGGCGATCTGGGGTCGGCGGCGTACCCGAGGTTGGTGTAGATCGGCGGGGTAACGGAGGTCGGCTGCACAATTGAGGAGGTGAGAGAAGCACTATGAGCAGGGAAGCTAAAAAGACCGCTGCTATGGTGAGGAGATAGATGCGCTGCTATGGGCCTGGTGCGTCAAGCGTGAAGAAGATTCGGAACTTGTGAAACCACTTAAATAACATTTTTGTCTTCTTTAAAACCACTCATATTTTTGTCTATTCAAACTCTCACACTCATACTTGGGCCATTCTTTCAAGATGGCCTTTCTCATAGGAGACCGCATTTCCGACCAATTTGCAAGCACGTTGAGTTTGTCAATACAGAGCTTGGGGTAGTAATCTCTAATTCTCATTAACTATTTATTATTATTTTTACTAATTATAATAATCATTATTAATAAAAAATTGTCGGTTCGGTTTGAACCGATTTTTTAGGAATATAAACTGAGTTCGAACCTCTTTTTTATCGGGTCCCAATTTTTGGGTCCCATTTTCAATCAATTCGGTTCAGTTTTTTTCCAAAGCGGTTCGATTTTTTCGGTTTTCATTTTTCGGTCTAAAATGCCAGCCCTAGTTTAAAGAACACTGAACTGGGCTCTCAATCGGATTTAGACGTTTCAGAATTAGTAGATTGCGATCAAAGTCCCATGGTCCATCTTCCATCACCCTGCGAACATCGGCCTCATGGAAGAATTGAAATAAGAACCGCTGATCTCCGAGTTCTCATATGCGAACCCCCTTTCCAGGACGCGATATGTTTGCCATATATTCTCGAAAGAAAATGAATTTCATTGGATTCTCAGTTAATCAGTTAATAGTCATCCAACCAATGCAAGCGCTAGGTTCTCTTGATAGACATTGGGTTCATCCAAACCCACATCCAACTCATGTTTTTCCTCCTCCTCCTCCAGGTATAATATATGGTATAACTTGAAATAACAGGTCATCAATCGGTCAGGGACCAGCGAATGAAGATGAGACGCAAGGGTTGGATTATTCCTGAATAACGAAAATGTGAGACTATTGTAAGAAAACCGCTAAAAGGTTGATTATTAGTTTCCATTTTCCCATTACTCGTACAATATATGAAATATAGATCATGATGCTCAATATTCAACTTTAATACTTAACATAATATGTTTGATGCTCACTAAACGTGCATTAAGATCCCGTTTGGTGATCATGTTTTCAGCATATCAGATTTATCAGTCAACTTTTTCATCGAACACCTAATTTTTTATTTCACGTGCTGAATTGTGTAACAATTAAAAAAAAGGTTGGAGTTACTTTTCTGATTGTATTGGTTGAAGTTCCTGCAGAAGATCATTTTAACTATTTTTCATATAATTTTTTATTTGTTTTATTAATACAATATATTTTAAATATAATTTTTTCATACATCAGTAGAATCAGCCAATCCAGACACTTCAGCCAGAACTTCATAAATTTCAGCAGAAGTAGCCGATTAAGCCAATTCCAGTGCTAACAAACGGACACTAATGTTCATTTAACAGAAGTCGGGGTTTTCACTTAAATAGCGAAATGTCAATGATTATACAATGTTCACTATAAAGCCGATTGTACGATATATGAAAGTGAAAGTGCTTTATGAAAGGGGAGGGACTAATTGAAACTTCTCTTGTGATTTGAAAAGTTTTTTTTAATCGTCAAAACAGATAGCTTAAATTGATATCGTAGCATTCCGATAGGGGGTAAAATGACAAAAGGACCACAGACAACCGTCAACCCTCGAACATGACTTAGAGTCAATCACCTCCGAAAAAACAATATAAAACATTGATCCTATAATGGGGATAAATGAGTCAACGACGGTTAAAGCAGGTCTCCCATCACCCAATCCTAATGCAAGAGTCTTACAACAATAAAAGTAAACAACATAAAAATAAACAGTCAGATCATGAAAAATAAATAGCAAACAAACAATAAAATTAAAATACTGCTTACAAACCTTAAACTCTCTTGCACTCCATGGCAGCAGTTCAGGAGGGGGACGGTCCAACAGTACTGTAGCTTCTTCCGCTCCTTGCCTCCGGTCCAGATCTGTTCCAGCCCCTAGCCCCACGCTTCGTCTATGACCTTCTTATGTCAACCATGAATGACATGCTCGAAACTCTCCAGATGCAAACCTGCTGCTAGGGGTACACAACATTTGGCCGCATATATGCACTACGGTGTGTCGAAAAAGAGAACCTCACGAAAGGCGGACGAAAGTCGCACAGGAAAGACGCACTTCGACAAGGACGAAAGCGGAGAAAAACAACCCCTAAACCTCGGCCTAATTCTCACGTTAGATGTTGTGTAATTAATTGTGGTTTCAAAAGCTCGGGAACAGGTCTACATTTGAAAATACTCCGTACTTATTTTGAATTTTATTCATTTCTCTCCGACAAATTATCCGTCCACGTGTATATTGACGGATCCCTGCCGTTCGATCGTGGTCAGACTCGGGCAAGGCTGCCCGAAACAGAACCGGGCAAACTTTTGGGCGTTTAAGCTTTAAAGCATGGTGTGTCATGTGTGTGCTCTGCTTCTGTCATCGTGCAACTCGCCGGTGACTGTCCGGTAGAGAGCGTTTTCCGACCTCACCCCGTTATTTACTTACTTTTCCGACCGGCGGATGATGCGTTCTCCCGCATTTCCATAATGTGTTCCAGCCACTCTCTGGTCGGAGAATAGCCTTAGCTCTTCAGCATAGCTTCCAAAAATCATCTCCACCTTTCTCTCCTTCCTTCTATGGCATCGGCTGTGTTTCCCGGCAGAAGCGGACAGAAGTGGGGTGGTGCACCGGCGAACCCTACAAGCAAACCTTGTTTCAGCGGCCACATCAACCCTAACTCCAGCTACAACTTCAACCGCCATGATAATTCCAGCCAAAATTTGAAGTCGCTGCACTTTAATGGTCCGTTACCGTTTCCTGCTCCAGAGTGTTGCTCGCAACCCATGGGTGCTGACAGAGCACGGCCTTCCATTCGGACGCCTGGTACTATCATCGGCTGCAGAGACTTGTTCCGGAAAGAATATGTTGCTTACAATCTGGCCTCCTATTCCAGAATGCAGTTGTATGAGCTGAAACAACGCATAGTTTCTGATCTGATTAGGGTTCGGCGCGTTCTGAAGCGGATGGAGACTCGAGAGTTGGAATGTGGACCTCTGCCCTCGGATTCTAAGTGTAGAAAAGCTGCTCCAAAACTTCCAGTGCCGCCTAAGCTGCCGCCATGTCTTCAAGTAAATCAGAACTATGCATTGAATAATCTGAATCAGAAGCAACCACTAAATGCCGGAAATGAGCTAGGTGCGCTCGATAAACCCTCAGGGACAAAGCGAGGATGCAATTTCACTTCAGATAGAGATTGCAAGCGGCCGGCTGTGAAAAGGAAGGGCTCAAAGATCAGTAATCAGATGGTGATGAACAGGTGCAAACTGATATTGCAAAAACTGATGGTTCGAAAGCATGCATGGATTTTTAACAAGCCTGTGGATGCCAACCGTTTGAAGCTTCACGATTACAATCTCATCATCAAGCACCCAATGGATCTTGGAACTGTAAAATCAAAACTGCGGAGGAATGAATACACAACACCTCAAGATTTTGAAGCAGATGTTAGACTGACATTCAACAACGCTCTGGTTTATAATCACAAGGGGGGACAAGTGTATGCCTTAGCAGAATTGTTTCTTAAGAACTTTGAAAACATGCTTAAGACTGTTACACCACAAAAAATGATTTGTGATCCTCAAGAGCAAAATCACCTTGACAGAAAATCCAACCCATCAAGCTTGCAGTCCATGGTGTTAAATCCTCCAGTTTCAAACCAAGTTTTAAAATACTTTCCACATCACTTTGTATCGCCCATATCTGGAAAGTTGATAAAGCCTGTGGTTAAGGATCAGAACAAAAGGAAGATGACTTTTAAAGAGAAGGCGAAGTTAGGTTTGAGCTTGCAGAACCTTCCACAAGAAAAGATGGAACAGGCTTTGCAAATTCTAATGAAGAGAAATATTTCTTTGCCAGAGGAGGGTGGTGAGATTGATCTTGATATTGAAGTTCTTGATAATGACACACTCTGGGAGCTAGACATGTTTGTGAATTCACAGAAGAACTCCTTAAGCAATGTGAAGATGCAATACATTAGTGAGGTAAAATTAGTGCTGTTTTTTTCCTGATTAGTTTGTTTTGCTGTCTTCTCCTGGATTGGCGTAATGATGTTGTTTTAAAATATCAGCTCCCAAAAGTTGTGCCCATCCCACAGCGTAAAGAGGATGATGCTGAAGAAGAGGAAGTTGATATTGGGGAGGAAGTTCTGAACAGTGACTTTCCCACAGTAGAGATTGAGAAGGATGATGTTTGTGGAACAAGTAGCTCAACTACCTCAAACTCCAGCAATTATTCTTCTTCCAGTGGTAAGAGCAAAATCCATTCCATTCTATATAATCTCTTAGAGTCTGTTTGGATGTAGGATTTTGGAGGCTTTGGAGGGAAAAGTTATATATATTTGAGCTTTTATAAAAATTGAAATTAACATAAAGGGATTGATATAACATTTCTACCATCTATTGTGCATTTTAGAAACATTCTAGTCATCAAGCTACACACTTCCAAAAGACCCTTAAGCTTGTTTGTTTCAGGGGTTTCAAGGGAAAACTGAGGGGAGGATTGTTTTTCAGTTTTCTTGTTTATCTCCATTTGTTAGCTATACATTAGACAGTAGACATATACTATATGATTTGATAGATCATATATTTCTGCATTGTTTTTTTTACTTTATTTTCAACTATCTAAATGTAAAAATAGTTTGGAAATAAACATCAGCCCTCCCCCTTCCCTCTGAAATCCCTAACCAACGAAGCCCTTAGGGCTTGGAGGCGAAAGCTTTGGATGATTAAGCTCATATTCTGATATATATTTGAAAATTTATAAAAATTGAAAGGTAAACATGATATGTGATCATAATATTTTTCAATCACCCGTTGTATGTTCTAGAAACATTCGTAACTTACCAAGATATAAAGCTACCTTCTCCAAAACAGTCTATCCAAACAGATCCTTATCGACCCAGATTCTATAGTTGCATTTCATATGTATGTATTGATCAAATACAATTGCTTCCAACAACCAGAATCAGGAAACTCTTCAGGAAGTGCCTCCGAGGACAGTGTGAGGTCACCCTATATTGAGCCAAAGAAGCTTTTAATTTCTGAACTCTGATGGGCTTTGATGCTTGGGAATGGTTAAGCTTGACAAGTGCTCATCAACAGAGGTTTTGTACTTGCTAAGCTAGAGAATGTGTAGAACAATTTAATGAGGAAATTCTCTGGTAGGATTTGGATTATGGACCTTAACTTTTTGTTTGTTTACAGAAATCACCACATTAATTTTAGTGGTTGAAAAACATAGTAGAAGCACATGTACAAAGTAATGATCAACCTAAAAAGCTGCAAATGGACTCTATGAGCTAGTGTGATGACTGATGACTCTTCTATTTCAGACTCCTTGGGGTGATATAAGAGATTAATGTGATGAAAAGTGGAAGAGGAATAGGATAAATGATTTACTACTATTGTTTGGCAAATAGAGGAATAATTGATAGGAGTGAAATGCAAATAGTGGGTCCTTATTTGCATTTTTCTCTCTCTTAAGAATGGATAGGAGAATAAGAGAGAAGTTGGTTCTCTCAATTCCTTCTTCATTTGTCTCCCCTACCAAACAACACACAAAACCTACCATATTTTCCTCTTGATCTCTTTCTTACATTTCTTTCTCCTCTATTTCTTCTCTAAACCAAATAGGCAAATATCAGGGCCAAAAATCCCATGAATGAGGTACGGTTCAATCTGACTGAGATACAAAAAACGAGCCAATATGGCTTCTTTTTGCCACGTGGTTCCCACACCTTCAGTATTTTCATTGACTGGAATTTTCTGGTTAATTTTCCTAGCCATCTTAGACCAGTTTTACTCTGTGGCTATATGGGTACTTCATGAGAGTGCATACCATAAAAAATATAGAACAAAACCATATTAATTTTAATTAAAACTATTTTTCTAAAAATCTCTATGTGCTAGTTTGACGCCATGCCAGTCCCAGATGGGGGGAATGGAATCTAAAATCGACATTTTTCAAAGGAAAAAAGGTCAAATAGGCCCTCCAACTTACATAAAAAGTCAAATAAACCCTTATATAGGAGGCTCTTTCCGGCCGTCGCCATTTGGGGCAGTTCCCGGTAGAATTTTTTGATGAAATTTTTTGAGCATCTTATTCATTAAGTCTAGTTTACTCATACCAAATTTCAGTTAACAATTCAATCGGGAAGGCATTCAAATGAATTCTTGAAAATAACTGCTCTTTTATCTTCAAGAATTAAATTGAATGCTTTCCCGATTGAAGTTTTAGCTAAAATTTGGTATGAGTAAACTAGAGTTAATGAATAATATGCTCAAAAAATTCCATCAAAAATTTCCACCGGGAAGTCGGGAACTGGCCCAAATGGCGACAGCCGGTAAGAGCCTCATGTATAAGGGCTTATTTGACCTTTTTATGTAAGTTGGAGGACCTATTTGACCCTTTTTTCTTTTTAAAACACTAATTTTTTACTTCGTATTTCTCATAGCCTGGGGTAACACCATGATCAATGGGATCCGACACCACTGTATCTCACCTAGGGATGGATGAGCCTAGCCCGTTATTGTGCTGGACTGGCTGACCGGGAGCGGGCTGGGAGCCCGAACCAAGGATAGGGGGCAGGCTACAAACCCTGATTTTAGTGGACTGATCTGAGCCAAATTATTTTTTAAAAAATTTTTTTGGCATCGGGCTGCTGCTAGGTGGTTTGGTTGGTTTTTTGGGGGGTGAGGGTAGGAATAAATTAAACATGCTACTTTTAAAAAAATAAAACCTATCTGGGCCGGTACCAGGCCTTCAACCTAAAACCTCAGTACCGACCAATCTTGGCCTGGGGGTCAACCCGGGCCCGATCCATGCCCAATCTCACCATTTCATGGCAGGTCAGGTATATTTGAGTAACATCATTTCTGTGTACGTTAAGGCTAAACCTGAAAATGACATTTACTCTATGAACTCATCCAAGTGGTTAAATCCTCGACCAATGGTGTATGGAAATAGAATGTCAGAGTAATTGGACCTCTATGGGCTAGCAATTCAAGAATTTAGAGTACTCCTAATACTAGGGATGGAGTCGGGCCGGGCCTGACTGGGCTTTTTTTGAATTTGTTTAGACCTGGAACTGGGTTGAGTAGCTACCGGGTCCGGTTCGGGCCCAGGCCGGGTCCGGCCAGTTTCGAGCCAGGTACCTTTTTTTTTGTTTTCTAATTACTTCTTACCCCCACACCCCAACCCCGTCCAAAACACCCAGTCCAACATATTTTTCTCCCAAAGATTTTGAAAAACAAAAAAAATTGGCCCGAACCAAACCTGGCCTTGTCGGTTCATTTTATTGCAACCCGGAGCCCGCCCCGAAAAATCCAGGGTTCAGGTCTAAAGCACCTAGACCCGGGCCTTGGATCGGGCCAGTTCAGAACAGTACCAGACCGGGCCAGTTTCGGTCCGGTCAACCCGGCCCAAGTCCATCCCTACCTAATACCGATACTCGCTACACACAAGTAAATGATTGTCGAATACAAAATTCTCAATTTCCTGTGCTTAAATTGATAAAAAATGAGAATAAATAAAATTTAACAAACGGCTAAAATATGCTAATATTATTTTTTTTATTGACATCATTCTATTATCAATTTATAATTTTAAAATTGAAACTTCTTTATCAATGGCTAAAATCAAGCTATTCATGTGCCTACGGTCCTACACTAGAAAGAAGTAATGCAGTGCTTTAAATCGGTTATTTGGAAAACGCTTTCAGTCTACGAGCGTTTTTATAAGAATTTCAGTTTTTTGTCTATGCATGAGAAAAATCTGAAGAATGAAAACATCGGTATGTTCATTTTTCCATAAGTCCTTTATACTCGAGTTCCTTCCCATGTACCAAAAAGGAGTCGGTGCACAACATTAGTCTCTCTACATATTCAATTACCATGAACTAAACAAAAAGGGGAAAAACCAGCTAATCCTCAAGAAAGATCTTGAAGAGGCTGCTCGCCTTTCATGCGCAGGTTAGAAGGCATGTATGTGTACATTTTTATGATGGCTCAGTTATGCAACTGCAGCAGCTGGTAAGAGGCCATTGTGCCTGAGAAGTGGCTCTGGGGAAGGCTCTCGTCCTCTGAACTTAACAAAAACCTGGACAAAATAATACACGAACAATGTGAGAGGATGAAAGTCCTATACGTAGTAATCACTGATCATCATTAAGAATGTAGAGAGACTTTCTCTCCATTTCTACCTCCAGTGGATCTTTACCACCTCCAAGTGCCAGCACAGTTTCCCGGAATCTTCTTCCTGTTTCTTGGACCGCCTATATACCAATCATCAATGAAAATATTATTAGTAAATATATACTATCGTACTACGTAAATAATGAGACACAAAATGAGCTTATTCCTTGTAGAGAGAGCACCACACCACTGAGAGAGAAGGAAATGCATTTCTTTTACCTTTTCATTTTCTAGTCCAACATCCTCGAATGCAGAGAAAGCATCAGCAGACAAAACCTCTGCCCACTGCATAACCCATTATTACAACCTAATTAGACCACATCTCGTGTAACAATCAATCAATATATATCACCAAATAACAACAAAGGACCTTTTGTAATCAAAACAACAAGAAGCATTAATCAAAGCCATGAAACTAGAACCCACAGAGACCAAAAGGCAAAACTAGAATCTTTTGTGTGAGTAAAGCAAGTCAATAGCAAATAGTCCATCAAATAACAAAGTTAATGAAAAAGTCAGTTGTGTAATCAAGTGCTATGGAAAAGATTTGGCAATCAGAAAGAGTACAAACAAAAGAAAGTATGAAACAAGGTAAGCAAAAGAACCTTGTAACTGTAGTACCCAGCAGCATATCCACCGCTGAATATGTGGCTGAAACTACAAAGGAACCTATCATCTGGTAGAGGAGGGAGCACTTGCGTCTTCTTAGAGACCCGTTGGTCAACATCAAATATAGACTCTGAACCGCCTGGGATGTATTTCGAATGCAAGTCTAGATCCACTGTTGCAAATCTTAACTGAAAAATGAAAACATTTAAGCTTCTTATTAGCAAACACTCAAGCTGAAGAAGCTCACTTAGGGTTTCTGTTTTGCTAATTAAAATGGAGAATCCAGAACGGATATTCTCCTCTTTGTTCAAACAGAGAAGGCTGTAGTCACTAAATTCTACAGTCAGAGAGAGAGAGAGAGAGAGAGTGCAAAAGCCACCAACAAGTACTCAGTACTCACCTGACGGAGACTAAGGGATCCAGCACGGAAAGTCCTAGCAGCAAGGAGTTTCTTGTATATGTCTTCAGGAAGAGACTCTTCAGTTTCATAATGCTTAGCAATATTCATTAATGTATCCCTGCATAGAGTAATATGCAAATATATGAAAAATTGATAATAACTCATTACTTGCATTACAAGTCACAGGTGTAGAAAAAAATACAAAATTACATGCAGAAAATTTCCCGGGAAGAAACAAAATTAGCATTGACATTTTTGCATGATTCCCGAGAAGAAACACGGAGAGGATACAGGACATCACAGTTCAAGCCAATCAGCCTCATGAGCAGGGTGTACTGACGGGGGATAGTGTGTAATTGTGATATGCATTGTTTTTTTAGTTGCACGGAATATACATATATAGATAACATAAGTCTGTGCATTGCTTTGGATTACTTGCTTTCGTTGGTCAAATGAAAAATCAAACATTAGAATCACTTTCCAGTCAGTCAAGTTCTACAGAATGTAATTGATTTTCTTCAAACCAGATGCCTAGTTCTACCAATCTCAACTAGTTTGGACAAAGGAACTAAAGATGATGTTGAGGATGATTCATGCAAAAAAGCATAATGAAAAAGTTTTGGGCTGTACGCTCTATTCCTATCACAATCTTCTAAGGCAAGATTATGATGAAATTACAAAACCATCATTATAGTGTTACCTAACTGTTTAAAATTAATTGACACTGTTAAGTGCATCTGTGATCAAACATATTTAGGATTAAGGTGCTTTTAATGACAATGAGTATATGAATTTCATGATTGATATCAAGTCTCCTAAGACAAATAGATGCTTATTGTGAATAGTGAACCAGAGGGGACATTATTAACTAAGAAGTTAATCCTAAGATTTCTCCTTGTCCAAAACGGGGGTTAGATAAAACAAATAAAACAAATGCATCAAGTCATTAAAATAAAGTGTTCAATGGCATCAAGTTGTGAGAAATAAAGACATTAAAAGCACCAAATACCTGTGATAGCACCAATTCTCCATAAACTGGGATGGCAATTCTACAGCATCCCACTCTATGCCTCGTATACCAGCAACCATGCCTTCATTCTCCCTAGTCAACATATGCTGCAGAGCATGGCCAAACTCATGGAACACAGTCTCAACCTACAAAAAA